GCAGATTCTTCATTATTTAATTTCTTTAAATATAATACTGGGCAATAATTTTTGGTGGCAAAATTTTAATAGTGAAACAACGCAAAATGCCAAAACAAATAATTCAAAAGTACTGAATATGCGTTTCATCCTTCCTGACTATTTCAGTCAGCAAATTAAAATAATGTGCATATATCACAAAGACAAACCCGATAATCAAACAGATAAAAAAACCTTAATAATAATTCAGACGCTAAAGAATATGCTAAATATACACTAAATGTAATAACATTATTAAAAATATCAAAATACTAAATAAACATAAAGTAAAAACATCATTAGAAAATAAAAAATAAAATAAGAATGAAATAAAATTGAAAACTCTAGATAAACAAGTGAAAAGGATAAATGAAAACTCTAGATTAAATCATGTCAGATTTACAATATAAATATAATATAAAATATACAAGAAGCCACATATCCTAAAGAGTTATTTTGAAATTGCTTATATTTTAAAAAAGATGGAAATGCATGTTTTAAATACCAAAGAATGTTAAAAACATCATAGTATACTCTGCAAGAAATTTTTTAATTTAAGTTTTTTATATTAAAATAAAAGAAAAATTTTTAAGAAGCATTAAAAAGATACTAAATGCTAATTAAAAGTTGCAAATACAAAATTTTGAAAACAAAAGTAAACCATAAACTTACTTATTTTTCTAATTTTACTAAAGCCGGAAAATGCAAACATGGGATGCATAAAAATGGCGGAGGGGGGAAAAAAAACCTCTTTCACAGATAGTGGGAGGAAGAGGTACAACTCTACCATGAATTTAAAGAATCATTATATTAAAGTGGTAAAATTACCTTTATTTAAAGATTGATGTCCTTAACATTATAGTTATAATGTAAAAACTAAGCCAAGGTTGTTTATTATAATGCATTGGTAAAAAGTTGGCAAAATATTCTGAATAAAGAGAAATTGAGCCTGTGAAAAAAAAGAGAGTTGTAAAAGCTTTGTAGAAACCTGGGGAAACAGAACATGGTTAAGGTTGAATGAAAAATATTCTGGCAAAGTTCACAAAACACTAAAAACGAAAGATAAAAGGAAATAGTCTTCACACAATTCTGCTACACTGTGACTGACGAAATTAATATCAGGCTTTGTTAATAAAAGTTAGAGCCAGAATAATTAATAAAGAAACTGTACATAAAAATTAAATAATTACAGTATTTGCAAATCTCTAATTTTAGTTATCCTCCTGCTTTTCTCTTCTGTTAATGATTTAAAGTAATGTGATTACATCATAATAAAAAAGTGATTAAATTTGTTACTTAATGCCTGCTTTAGTTACTAAAATATTTTTTAATTTTATTTCCAATTAAGTTATTGATTAAAAGAAATATTTCTTCTTGAAGGTAATTAACTTCTGTACACAAATTTTTGGTTCTCAGAAGTTGGTTGTAAATTCTGTTTTTTTAGATTCTCTTAAAAATACTAGAATCCCAGATAATTAATTTTATTAAATCAAAATTGAAATCTTTCTCATCTGTATATGCACATATAAGCCTTTATCTGGCTCAAAAGTCCTTAGTCGGCCTTTATTTTTGCATTCGTACGCATTCGTAGGTAACATTCTTATACTCCCAATTACAGAAATGCCTTAAATCATGAAAATATTCCTGTTTTGACAATATCAAGTTTTTTAAAAAAATTAAATTTTGGACAAATAACAAAATCTAACCTTTAATGCAATCTCCTAGTTCTTGTACTTATATTTGGGAAAGTTTTATACTCGTTATGAAAAAATAAAAATAAAAGAAGTTTACTCCCATACTACAAAAACTGACAGGGACATTTTATTTCAAAACTAGCAATTTTTGGTTAACTTTCAGCTTGCTTTGAGGGATCAGTTACAAGTTTAAATCCATCAACTGTCATTTCTCTGATAACAAATCTCTTAAAGCTTTAAGAAGTTTCCCCATTTAAAATGCTTCTCAGCATTTTTCATAAATATACATAAATTTAATATAAAATTTTCAGTATTTTCCAATCATCTATTGTTCACCTCATGTACAAAGTGATTTGTTTTCGCTTGAAAAAAAATCAGAGATTTGCTCAAATTTGGCCCTTTGCACAAACCTGGTTTTGCACACTGGCCACAGAAGACATGCACACTTCTTGGATTTAAATTTTGGGTAGATAAGTCATAGCTCATATGTATTTAAATGCTGGAAAATTTAGATCTATGGCATCTCATCCAGAACAGCATACATGAAGGAATTTTGTTCTTCCTTTCCCTTTAGAACTTCGCTAGTTTAGATCATAATGCATTTATGCACAAGCAAAATAGTTAATGCAGAATGCACTGTGATAGTTTAGCCTGTACCGAGCACTGAGGTTGCGCTAAGGCAGTGCAACAAACTTGAACCCACGTCAAACTTGTCTAACTACAGTAGGGTGTGCTCAGTGTAAAAACATCATAACACACATACTTTCTGCTGAACCCTGCATTTTTGCTTGCGTTTTTGATCAGCATCTTCTTCTTAACAGACATGGAAACTTTTATTGCACCAAGTTCTGTATTCTTTCTTGCACATGTCTAGTTATTTAGTTAGTACGTATTTAAGAATTAAAGGAATTATTAGCTTTGTGGCTTGCTTACTGCTTACTTTATCATTCACACTTGTTGATTTTTTTTTTAATTATTGTTATTATGACTTCTGCTTAAACAATAAGTTATACAGTTTCTTTTAAACTTTTGGCAAAGAAGAAAGTGTTAGAAACTGGAATTCAGATTGCGGCTAGAGAATATCAAGTTAACGGCAGATGCATTCAATGGTGGAAATCCAAACAAGAAGAATTAGAGAAAATGTCTCAGAACAGAAGATCTTATCAGACTACCATCGTAGCCAGGCCTGTTTCAGAATCTAACTTAGAGTAATGATCAATAGAGCAGAGAGAAAAGGGATTATCAGTGTCAACAGTTAGAATTTGCCTTCAAGTAAAAGTAACTGCTCAACAATTGGGCATTAAATTTTTGTTGGAGGACATAATTGGCATTCCAGGTTCCTGAAATGAAAGATATTATTCATCAGGATCAAAAGAACAATTGGACAAAAGCTTTCTGTAGACAAGTTTTTAAAAAAAAATTATACCTTTTTCAAACTTTGCATCTAAGAAAATTAAAGAACATATTTTGAATAGAGGACAAATAATTAATAAGAATGAAAGTCTTGTTAACTTTTGACTGTCTTGAGAGTAAAATTGTTCATTCAACAAGTGAAAAAAAAACTACACAATGATTGTTTCAGTGCTAACAAAATTGGAAATATGAAGTAAGTAAAACAGTCTTTTCATTCCTGGTTGTTGTGCTAACAACAACCAAGAAGAATGAAAACACTTCTTTTCCTTGTGTTTTGGGTTGTGCCGCCACTGGAGAGAAGTTAACACTTTTAACATTTTTCAAAGGAAGAAAGATGCCATAAGGAAATTTCCCAAAAGGGGTCATTATTTAAAAAAGCAAAAAATGGATAGATCTGCAAAGAAGTGATATCATTTGGGCTGAGAGAAATTTAATGAAAAAGGAAAGGTGTTTTTCTTCCATCCTCAGGAACGCATGGCTCTGGTTTCGTTGCAAGATGGACTAAAATCCTAATCAAAATATCTTAACACTAATATCTCAGTGATACCTTGCTTGCTTACAAAAATTTTACAGCCATTGGATCTCACCACCGACAGAATTTTCATACACAAACTACGAAAGCAGCGGAAGGAATCAATGTGAAGCAGACTCCATTCCTTCACAAATTCCAGAAAAATGAAAAAAGCTTCATATGAGGAGGCTGAGTTGTGGGTCTATAAAACATGGGAATCAGTCCGAGCTGATACAATCATATCAGTTTTCATTAAATCGGAAATGAACGAAAAAGAAAATCAAAATAGAGATAGTGACATTCAAAGATTTAGAACAGAATGATGAAAATAACCTTGATGGTGATGATCATCTGTTAAATTTATTTAATTCTGACATTAATGAGTTGGAATTTTAATGTTTTGTTAAATAAATGTAGTTTATTTTAATTATAATCTTCCATTTTATTATATAATTTACAAATCCTTTTTCAAAATATGGTAACTTATGGTGATAAACAAAGTTTACTAAACCCTTAAAAAGTACATCTATTAAAAATCAGCAAGGTTTGTTTTCAGGAAGTTCAAGGCAAGATATTTTTTATTTTTTACTTACTTAAATATTACTGAATATATTTTTGTTGTAAATGTTATGCAATGTTATCAATGATGATTATATCAATATGGAAGAGAATGTTGTAAATGATATATGGCTATCTTTAAACTAATTCCAAATCTGCATTCTAAAACTTTGCTTGCAATTTTTCACATTGCATTTTCATAAAATTCAACCATTAAAGAAGTACAACTTCATGAAATGCAAATTTTTACAATCCCTACTGTTGGACAAAATGATGTATTTCTGAAGAAATGTAGTAAAATTTTCTTTTACATGAGCTGATGAATTCACAGTTTCATTGTGATTTACTAAAAAAGAAAAGAAAAGAAAAAAAAAAAATGCATTCAATATAAAATCAAATATTAATAAGAAAACTGGTAGTCAAATTTGGAAGGTGGAAATATATATGTAAAGGTGTATCTGCTGTACACAACTCAGTTGCCACGTTATGGCTTGCCATATAACTATTTTTTTGACATAGTATGTTGCATAGTGAATACTTTTTGTAGAGGTGCAGATAATCAGAAAAAAAAAAAAATTTCTTGCACAGTAAAATGAGGCTCATATGCATACTTGCTAAAGAAGTTTCCCTTACACTCTTTCATGGAGTAATTATCTTCAAGCAAGAGGTTTTTATTTTCTTCAAAATTCGAACTCTTTTATTAACTACAAACATATGCGACTTCAAAAATATCCATTTCAATGCAAAGTTAAACCAAAACATTTGCATGCAATATTATTTTCATTTATTGAAAAAAATTCAAATACCATAATGTGATATCTAAACGCATGTCAAGCCTGAAATACAGTCTGTCTCGTGTCCGTTTCATTACCCGATGAAACCAGTCCATTAATTCAGCAAGTTCATAACGATGGGGTCTAAAAGGCAATAAGATTTCTTTTTAATAATTTCCAAAGCATTCAATATTTTTAATAATTTGTATACTATTTAATTGAAGAATTTATTCTACAATATTCAATTATAAAATAACAATTAATAATAATATCAGCTATATATTTATAAAATAATTTTTAACAACTGCATATAACTGAGATTTTGTAAAAAAGTTTAAAATAAGACTTAAAAAGTTCAGATTTTTCAAAAAAAAATTTTTTCATAAGTAAATTAATTTGACCCATAATCATTGTGGTTGTCAGCCTCAATGATATACTTGGACCATGAATACTGTGGACTTTACAGAACATTGAATAAGTTGTTATTAGCATATGTTATTATTACAGGCATTAACTGCGCACAGTGATCATTTAAATATTCCAAAAATATAAATTTTAACTATTCATAATTTATACCCCACGGCTTGAAATGTGTGACCTGCAGCATCTGGATCCATAACAGCTTTAATTATTCCTTTTGAGACATCAGAATAATACACAGGCTGCTTAATAATATTTTTTCCACGCTTCCATAAAGACATTGTACGCCATGTTCTTCTAGCTGTCAAAGATATGGTACAGAATATTTAATGATATATTGCACTGAGCATTTGTAAGCACAAATTCTCCAAGTATATAACGGAAATTTTACATGATCTATAAAACTAAATTTTCTGTACAAAAACAAAAATAAAATATCAATTTAAAAAAAAAAATCTGAGAGCTTTCAGATTTTATATTACGCACAAAGGGGCATTACTTTTATTTACACATACATTTCGAGAGCATTTAGGCTAATGCCCCTTTGTGCTTAAAAATACTTAAAAAGTGTGCTATAAAAATATTTTATTCTGTACAATGTGTTGCCACTACTTGCTTTGAAATCATTGAGTTCCTTAATCAAAAACTCATTAAAGTTTAAAAAATATGAAACAGATAATAAAACAAATTCAAAATTTAAGTTTCGGGGTTCCAGGCGCCCATACTCGGATGGAGGAATGTGTTATTCAAAATTTAATGGCTCTAGGATCATTGTTTTTTCACAATGCAAGAAATCTAAACACATTCATGCAGATTCTCCATTATTTAATTTCTTTAAATATAATACAGGGCAATAATATTTGGTGTCAACAATCTGAAAAGTAATACAGCTGTTTATAGTGATTTGACGCAAAATGTCATTTCGAGACTAACAGCACTTCTGGGTTAACGCCCGCTTGGGCTAATAAAATTTTATGTAAACACATAACTAATCAAGGAAACAGCATATTTAAAAAAAAATATCTATTATGTTCTCTAAAAGAATGTAATTTCATTACACTTCTGACACATATATTTTTAAAATACACAAGCCGCATTTAATTGCATTATATTTTCCCTTAACAGCACAAAAACATCTCTTAGCTATTCACATAATTTTTAATACCTTCAAGGGAGCTCCTCTAAATTTTAAAATGAATTCCTCCACATAGTCATAGTTTTCCTCTTACTAACTTATTTGCTCATGGATTTTGAGTGCATGAGCTCTGATTGATGAAGCAATAATAAAAAGCTTCAAGAGAATGGGGATATCTAATGCTCTTGATGGTTCTGAAGATTACTGCACATGGCAAGACAGACTGAATTGTGATGAAGATGATGCCAATGACTTGCAAGCTACAGCAGATAACACAGTCAGTGATTCCGGAAGCATTAAATGATTTGAAGCCACGGGAATAGCAATGGACAGCAATAACGAATGTGATTCAGGATACAGGAAAGAAGAAATGAAGATATCTTACTAGATATTGCAGTGTTAATATTACTATGTATTCTGGCTGGAATGTAAATTTCTTTTAAATAAATAATATTGTGATAATTATCAGTAAAACAATATTATGATAGTAATCAATAGTTTACCTATGATTACTTTCCATTTCTTACGCTCTTATCATAACCATGTCATAACCATAAAATTAAATTATTCACATAAATTTCCCCCTCCTGATTTTTGCACCATAAAGTTAATAAAAAAAGAGGGAGGAAAATATGTGAATAAATACAGTATGGTTAAAAACGTTGTCAAAGATAAATTTTCTTATTTTTTAAGTATATGAAAAGATATGAAATTCAAAAGGTCTGTCTTAATACCAAAAGTATTACATTTATATATTATCTAGCTTTTCGTATAGCAATTTTCCATATGCACTGAATAATTTTTTTATGTTTGCTTGCACATTTAGATCATGAAATCACATTCATTTCTTTAAAACACATATACTACACTCTGCATTTCAAATTTTTTAATACTTTTGAATTTACCTATGATTACTTTTCATTTGTTATGCTTTTATTGTAACTTTGTCCTTCAAAATTTAAATTATTCACATAAATTTCCCCTCCCGATTTTTGCAGAATAAAATTAATAAGAAAAGAATGAGGAAAATATTCGAGTAAATACAATATACTTAAAAACTTTAAAGAGTGAGGAAAATATTCGAGTAAATATAGTATACTTAAAAACTTTGTCAATGATTTTTCTTATTAAGCATATGAAAATACATGAAATTCAAGGTCTGCCTCAATATCAAAAGTATTGCATTTTTTATTTAGCTTTTGGCATAGGAATTTTTCCATATTCAGTCCATATATAATTTTTCCATATTTTCCATATTTAGCTTTTTGTAATGAAATTACATTCACTGAATAATTTTTTGATGTTTGCTTGTGCTGGTATGCAAATAGTGATGGACTGTCACCAATAACATGATAAACAGTGTAATCTGAACACCTTGCAAAGGAGTTTATAGTGTGACTTGCCCATTTCCCCCCCCCTCACTCTTTCAAGAAAAGACAGTGAAATGACACTCTCTATCACATAACTCTTTTTCGATGTGTATTTGGAATACTAATGAATCTCAATCTATTTCCATGTATTAATAAAATGTGTTTGTGATCCCGTCTACAGCTTCTTTTTTTTTTTTTTTTTTTTTTTTTTGGATTAAGTTAATCAACTATGATCTCGCTAATGCTGCGCTGTATACAAGGTAAGAAGAATCATTTTATTCTCCACTTTTATTAATTTTGTTGTGAAATAGCGAAGCTACAAAAATGTTTTACAACAGTTTGCACATTTGGATCAGGAAATCACATTCATTATTTTAAAATACATATTGTATTCTGCATTTTTAATTGTTGAATACTTTAAAATTTTGATCAGTAATTAATCATAATAAGCATTTATTAATGTTCAAACAATAATAAATAACAATATTTCTAAGCACTTTATGTTGAATTAACATAATTGAGAAACAAATAAATCTTATAACTATATATGCATGTATATAAATATTAAAAAATGCAGCACTATAAATGAACTTGTCTTTTCCTAAAATAAGATTATTCCCTACATGAAAATTAGAATTTTGATTCTCATACTTATATTCATATAATAATTCAGAAAATTGTCTTGTTGGCCCCACATATCAGATGGACGAAAGATGATAGCCTCTGGAAATTCTTCTCGAACTGCTTTTTCTCCTTCCCACTGAAATAAAAATCAATTTAAGCTACCATATAATTACTTCAAAATAAAACAAGAATATTCTAGATGATTGTGTTCCATTTTTCATTTTTTCTACTTTGCACATGAAAATTAATTAAGTTCTAATCTGGAGTAATTATACAACATGCAATTTTTTAGTACAGTTCAAAGTATTTAGCTTTTTGTTAAATGCTGTAATTGCAAAAAGTAATCGTATTCAGTTAAATTTTTATTTCAATGAATGATTAAAATAATTATTGATCGTACTTAATACACTCAAAACTGGGTATTTCTGCAGTATAAGGGAAATAAGGAAAAATTTTCAGACTCTGAACTACTTTAGATAATTTCAGAATTATGATATCTCATAGTTTATCTTCTTCACTCCCCGTGTCGAGAAAAGGAAGTTCTCTCGTATGCCCATGAACTTGAAGCATTGAAGATCACAGTGTCCCTGATTATGCCGACATGCAAAAATAATTCCTATTTAATCTGCTTTTTATGGAAATATTTGGATTCTTGCATACATTATTTAAATGTTACTTCTTATAATAAAAGGAGAAAATTCTAATACTTACAATTAAAATAAAAATCCAAAATATATTAATGTGCAACAATAGTATTAATGATTATATTTACATATTTAAATAATTTCCATAGAATAATGAAGTAAAAAACTTAAAAATTTAAATATTACTGCCTATTATAGCTATTGTCATATTTAAATAAACAAATTTTAACACTACAGGAAAATGCTTCTAAATTCTGAATGTGTGTTGCAAGCATCGCACGTTTTACATTCATTGAATAAAATAAATGATATTCAAAACAACAGGGCTAACATTCAATAGATTTTGCAACATCCTGTTGTAATTTATGCACTTTTAAAATTTGAAGTAAAACATTCTGTTTCAGCATACTTCACTTCCGTTTCATATTCCATATGGCGGGCACAAGGACGTAAACTGAAACATATCATATGCGACACATTGGGAGAAAAGGGAATAATACTATATAGTTAATAAATGCTAAATACAGGGTTTGTACACATTTCTGTGCCCGGAAATTAAGTACTTTTAAGGACTTTTAAGGACCATTAATGAAAAAAATTAAGGACCTATGAACGAATGAGAACTGAATAAATTCAATTAAAAATATTATCTATGCCTGAACTTCACTTTTGTAATACCCTCCTAAAAATAAAATAGATTCGTAAGTAGGATGCATTATTATTAAACATGACTTAATTAACATAATTATTATTATGTCTGAGAATAAAATATATGAAATTTATCAAGAAGCATTATATATTTTACACTTATAAGAACTGAACATATTTGAAAGGAGATAAGTGACATTTTATTTACGTTTTACTAACAGTTAGTTTTATGTTGATTTTATTTTAAACCTCATTTTGTCCCATACTTGCTCAGTCTAGAGCTTTAGTAAATAGTAAGCAGATCTTATGTCAAGCAGCATAGGTTAAAATGAGAAGTAAAATCATAATCAGCATGATGAACAACAAAAGACTGGCCATTGTCACTGCTGCTGCTTACCTGCAGGGGTTGCGACTCAGTTAATATACTTTGAGGTTCTAATAAGCCACTAAAGCACCAGAGGTGATAAGTTGTTTTACATTATTTTAAGTCTCACTAGATGCGAAGAATAAGTTTTACGTGAATTTTTTTACATTTTTGTGTTTTATCTTGTGACTATGGTAAGGGTTAATGAAAGGCAATAACTCGCTTTAATATGCAGAGATAATTTTTAAGGTCAGGTAGTAAGCAGTTATAAGTAATTAAATTAGATATAAGATAACCTTAGTCATTATGGATTTACATGGCCACTATTAAATTTTATTTATTTTTAGCCCTATTAAAAATCCCAATCTAATAAAATTTCACAGTTAAAAATACATATAATTTATGACATTGATTCTTAAACGATATTCGAACAATTACATATAAAACATTTACTATGTTTTATAGTAATAATACTCAACAAAATATTTATGCATCTTTTTAATTTGAAGCCTTCCCAGACATTTTGGCGAATTTATATCGATTTCCTTCTCTTTAAGCACCTTTTTTAACAATTAGGAATTTGTCTCAATACACAAAAGAATGTTCTCACTAATTTCTGCGTGTTTTATTTCCTAACCTGTCAACCTGTCCACAATGTACCTATGAAAGTTTATTTGATCTGGTAAAAGTTAAATAGTCCAAAACACATCAACAGATATGAAGCAAATTATCGCTATGTCTGAAAGTAACTACAATATCCAACAAAGGTTTAAATAAGATTCTTATTTAAAAAGAACTTAAAAAATAAAGGCATGTTCTTATGCTGACAAAATCAATTACAGCTCGTAGTGATGTAATGAAACAAGAGTCAAATTCAAACTAAAAATATGCATTAATGGTCAAAGACTATACAATTTAATTTCATTTTAGGCTGATATTTTTTGGTCAATAACTCTATCATCATAACAAACTCAAATTCACCAAAAATAATCCAAGACGAATAATTACAAATTATCAGAGCGGGCAGGAACTAATGCAGTGAGCAAGTGGAGGTCAGAAACACACTCTTGTCTTACACTCCAAAAATCTCGGTTTAAAAACTGTCTATGTGATTTGCATTCAGGTGAGAAAATAGAAAAGGGAAATTATAGTAAGGGCTGAAATTGTAAACAATTGAGTAATTTACATAATAATAACTGTGCATATCTTTGAAGAATAAATTTGTTTTTCTTTATGTATTCAGTTTCTTTCTTCCACGTTTCCTCTTCATTTTAGAATTTTTGGATTTAATTAAAGATTTCTGAAATTCTAAATAAACTAAATGCATTTAGAATGTATAGAAAAAGCTGCTAATTTTATTTCTTCAGTAATATGAACATTCAAAAGAAATATGAAATATATATGGTAAGCTTCGGTTAAAGGGGTGATGTGGCATAATTTTTAGAATTTAGTAACACATTGAGCAATAAAGTCTAGAAATCACAAAACGTTTAGAATTTAGAACAGACATTGGAAGCAGAATTTAGAAAGGCACCAGGCAGCAGAATTTACGATCCACAGAGACTGCATCAGATGGGAAAATGCCTAGTGCCAGACCTGTGTGTGATGCATAATACATATTCGATGAACCTTTTAAATTGTCAGTTATCAATATCTTTATTAATAAAAGAATTCCTTTCTATAATGCTTGTCCATATGATAAAATTAGAAGCATTTTTGATATTTTCTATGTTTGTGTCTAGTGAAAAGTAGACAAAAATAAAGGGAAGATTAAAATGTTAAGAAAAAGATTCTAGTATCAGAAGTAAAACATTCGGAACAGCTTCAGTATAGCCCACCTTTAAAGTTTGGAGAATATGTTTTGGCGCCAAAGCACATGAAATATGTTGTTTTGAAAAATGGTTGCCATCCAGATTTTCGACGAAACCCCGTGTTTCAGATTTTAAAAGAAAGAAGTATTAAGGAATGATTAAGGTTAAAAGGATGTAATTTTAGAAACAGTGCCGGAAAATCTCACCTTTGCTTGGCTTTCCCAAATGTAAGATCATTTTTCACAAGTTTTATCCTTCAGTTATCCACAATCCATCAAAAATACTCTAAAAAGTTCATACTTGTTAATTCATACATAAAATATCTGTTTGGAATGCCTGGCTTTCCCAAACTTTTACACTTGTTTGACAACTCCCACTTTAAATTTTCCTTTAAAATGTCTCGATATGTAATTACAACATCACTAACAGCAGGTTTAGAGCAATCCATAACTAAGTGCAAAAACCTGGCCTCCAAAACAGTATTCTCCACAATATCCGAATGTTAAACAATCGCCGAAAATAATGTTACGAATTTTGTGTAGATAGTTAATTATAGTACAATTCTAATTAAAAAATGTTGTATTTCCTTGTGCAATCCAGCGCGAGATAAATTTTAAGAGAAGCTATGCCGGAAAAGTAAGAATACATTTGGCACGTGCATTTAACTATGAGTAAATGAATATCTCGGTAATTTGTATTGAAATTGAATAAATGTAACTGACTACTATATTAGCTGTAACCGTAATTCCATCCTCTTGTTTACATTGCATTTGGCGAATAGTATGGGTTACCACAGCATATTTATCGCCGCTCTTGGCAATATTTTTAATCAAAATTCTGGGTGGGCTATACTGAAGCTGTGCCAAACATTCAACTATAATGTTTTCATTATTCTTCCAGAGCTCAAATTGCGCCGGAGCAGGCCTCGGGCGCAATTTAAGCTCTGGAGAAAACTGATGTATATTTTGAGAATTCTGAATATTCCGAGACAATTACGTAGGAAAAGCCCTTACCATGAAAATATTAAAAATACATTTTTAATTAATTACATAGCTAGTTTGCTTTTGCTAAGAACTGTTTCGTAAATGCTGCTTTATAGCATTATACCTTGCTTATTTTTCATTTCCACATAATAAATGGCCAAAATGGAACTTTACAATATCACAGCAAAAATAAAAATACTTTATTTTATCTTATCTCATAAATCAATCAAAATATTACCATTATTTAAATGAAATTTATCAGTGTTACAATGTTTAAAAAAAAACTGCCGAAAAATTCCTTAGATCTCGGATTTAATAAAATCTTTCTATAGAAACAGATCTTAAAATTGCCAAAATGTTGCTAAATCGCCAAATTTAGAAGGGTTTAATAAAAGAATTCACATCCCAAAAAGTGAAAAGTTGTTTAAGAGCTCTTCATTAGAAAAAAATGAAATAATTTTGAAATGCTCATGTTTCACTTCCTGCTCAGAAACTCGAGTATCCCACCATTTAATATTAGAAATAGGAACAAATTATAATCCATGAACCCATTTAAAAGATAACCATATTTGTCAGCAAATCGCCAAAAATATTACTCTAAAATGCTAATTCACATTCAAAATAGCAGTCATAAAAACAGACAGAAATTTCTGATGATTAAAATTAAGGACCTTCTGACGATTTTGGCCGAAATTAAAGACTTTTAAGGACCAAAAATCAATTCCAAAAAACTTAAGGATTCTTAAGGACCGTATGAACCTTGTAAATAATACACTAATTTTTTTTCTCTGAAAAAAACTGTTGCATTCACATACACATTTGCAAAATCCAACAATAATTATTTTGCCAAATTTCATCAACTTCTATTATTTTAATAAACTTCATAACTTATTGTGTAAACCAGAATTCTGCAGTGTCCCAAACAATATTTCTTAAAGTTTGAAAGAGAGTAAACTTTCAAAGATTTGTTTAAAAAAAAGTAATAATAATAACAATTTTGAAATTCTTCACTGTTATCAATTTAAAGAATATAATAGAATGGAAAATGAAACATACGTAATAAAAAGTTCTTTTGAAAATGTTAATTCTGTTCTAATGTTTTCTAATGTTTTCACCCAACATTATTAATCAAGCAGTTAAAAAATTCTCATCTCAACACACTAAAAGCCACACTCTTATTTCAGGAGATTATAAAAATTCTGTTGTCATTCCCTTCTTTCCATCAATTAGCTATAAAGTTGCACATATTTTGCAGAAATTTAACTTTCGGTTGTTTACTCTCCCATCAATAAATTCCAACTTCTATACTCAAGGACCCCATTCCGGATATGAATTCCTGGGTATTTATAGGATTCCTTGCCAGTGCGGTTTAATTTACATTGGCCAAACTAAGAGAGCCTTAAAATTTCGCATCAAAGAACATGAGGCATATGTTAGAAAAAAGGAAACACAGAAGTCTTCTTTGCTCACATTGTTGGTCCGAAATCACACTTCAATTTTTCTGCTGCCAAAATTATTCAAAAAACATCTTCCATTGGGAGAACTGGATTTTCTAGAGGCATTTCACATTCATAAAAATCTTTCTGTTCTAGTTAACGATCCTAATTCCAATCCAAATTTGCCTCGGCTTTTAGAGAAATTATGTTTTAGTTCTGGTTTCGCCAACAGATGGCGCCACTTGCTTATTCTTGTCCAGGCTTTCTTATCTTATCTAAACATTATTTCCTATCTTGTTCATTTGCGGTTTTGCAGCTGAAGATGATGGTTTTCGGTAAAACCATCGAAACTAGTCCTGTGAAAATTTTGTGAATTAACGCTGATTTTTGTTGTTTGACTTCTGAATCATGTTAATTCTGGTTAACTGAAAATTTAAAAAATAATAATTTTGCAATCTTCTCTTCCCCTTCGAGATAGACAGCCTCATCCTTCAAGCACTTATAATCTACCTGCAGTCAAACAGTGATAATTCATGCACATGATTCATATTTATTAAACTTGTACTAAAGCCTATATGCTAAAACTGGTTTATTGCCTTTGTGACAATAAACCAGTTTGAACTATTTCCCTGGAATTGTTACTTATATACAGTCCACTGAAAATACACGCAATCCAAAAAAAAAAAAAAAAAAATTGAGCCACAACTACGAAACACAGCACGCAAATGTGTTTTGGCAAGTTTGTAAATGATAAAACTTACAGCATTAATCAGCATTGTGGAATGATACAACGCATGTCTGAAGTGCACAGCTGGTAGAATGAAAAAAGGAAGGTACAGCAAGTGATGAATATTTACAACTACGCTGATGGCGTGGAAGTATAACACTGTAATAATGGATCCCCCTAAAGATGTACTCAGTGGTGTTATGAACAGTTATCACACTTCCAGAGAGTTCGCATCATAGAGCTAAAAGAGGTTGGTTGGTTGAACAGGCAGATTGGACAGCTTATTGATCAAAGCAATATGACCGTTGTCTATTGTTAGAACTAGTAGCTCAGCAAAGGAATAGACAGCTGTCGTAGCATCTCGTGACATTCTTAAGCCATAAGTACACGAGATGATCACTCAATTAGAAGCGCTACCATGTCCACATCAGATCTCGACATCCATTAACGATGCTTGCCATTGACATTTTCCCCATAAGCAGTGCCATCTTGCACAGTACATTTCTCACGCTGGACAGTGTCTGATTTGAGAAATGTGATCTTAAAACAACAAATCATGCTTTTCTCTCAATGCTGATAACTTCCACATATGTATCTGGAGACAGAGAGGAGAATGGTCCAATGGATTATTTGTTACCGAGCAGCACAAGGCCAGAACACAATGTATGACAGTCTGGAAAGTGAACAGCCGGGACAGCCATTCACCATTAGTCATAGTGTGAGGTACTCCAAGTGCTTGCAGGTATGTTGATGGCATTTTGCAGCCGATCGTACTGAAGGTCATACTCCTGTACTGTTACACCTGATGGTACCGATGGAAAACAGAACCTAGATTATCTGCTACCTATACTAGCAGGTCATCCAGGTTCTGTTTTCCAGCAGGACAATGTTTGGCCACATACAGCATGATTTTCCAAACAATGTCTTTGTTGTATTAATAATGCTTGGCCACATACAACATGATTTTCCACACAATGTCTTTGTTGTGTTAATGTCCTCGACTGGCTTGTCAAGTCTCAAGACTTGTCACATATCGAACATGTTTGGGACATGCTGGGCAGGCAAATTTAGCCATGTACAGATACATCCTAGTTCACAGACCAGTTGCTCCACTTGTGGCACAATCTAACACAGGGGGGAGTTGGGCACAACTGAGTATTCTGTAGGGTTTTACCACCTACTGATTTTTACATTCTTTGTATTGCTACTCATAAATAAAAGGCTCTTTTTCATACCAGTTTTCGATCATTTGTTTATCTACTTGAACACTACACTACAGCCACGTTCGTAGTTATGGCTCAATTCTTTCTCGGTACATAATATTTTTGCACAACAGAGTGTATTTTGAGTTCAGAGAAAATTTTTTTTAACTGAATTACAATATTTATTTATGCAATTTATTTATATTTAGTTAGTATAGCTACTTATTGTTTATTTAGGCAGCAAACCAACTTATCAAATTTTTTTTAACCCCATCACTGTGTTAAGTGAAAAAAAAATATGAAATAAAACTGCAATAGATGTAAACTACTTGAATTAATTTGCAATATAATATTACTTTTGTAGCATAAAATTTGGATCCCTTCTTAAGGATTATAGGTTCTGGTTTTTCCCTTGCATTCAAGGCTGACACATGAACAAGAGTTTCAACACCAAGTTCTTTTGCTATACGAGCTATATTTCTCGCAGCTTTGACATGCACTTCTTCAAAAGGGAAATTTCTAAAAAATAAAAACTCTTTAAAATATTTGAGTGAATATTTCAATGAAAAAAAGCATATATTATTTTTAATGTTAGCATTTAATTTTTCTGTTAAAAAAATTAGTTTGACCAAATCAATTTAACACACAGTACTTAATAAATTTTAAATCAAATATCTAATGCTTTTGATATTAAGTGTTAAAACTAAATACATCCTAAGAATTTTCAAATAAAATTCTTCAGTTACAAAAGAAGCTACTTAGCATTTCCAGACATAAATTAGAATAATTGCACATAAATTATAAAATAAACTAGTGCTACTTTATCAGCAATAAAACAGCCAGGTTTTAATTTGAATGTTTTCAGTTCTAATAATTATTAATACTATAGGATTTAAAAAATATTTTTTTCAAATTATACCTGTATATTTTGCTTTTAAGTTGAATGCACATCATATAAGCCTTCGAGGTACACTACGTCACACACATAAATTTCATTTCCATAGAATAATTTCCTATAATCTAGTTTTCAACATAAAAAATATTTATCTGTTTAATGTAGTACTTTCCAACTGATGTACCATGAAAAACTTAACATTAACTTCCTGATTATGGGGGACAATACCAGACAGCTAGTCTGCTCATTGATTCCCTTTTTAATTTATTACTTTTTCTACATACACTCAAGTAAAAATGACCTCCCAGAATATCATACACACCTTTCTTCCATTACTCCCTCATAACATTTTACAGCTATGACTCACAAAATCATTATCTGCTTCAGAGACAAACAAAAGGAAAGGAAATCTTTAAAGTGATCAATGAAGACTTCAGTACAAACAAAGGATACTTCAATACATACAAAGGATGGCTGAAAATAAGCAGAAATTAGTAAAAGAAGTGACTGCTTTTATGATTTGAATGAAAGAAGGTGTGCAATATATGCACTTTTCACTCACCAAGATCACATCTGATATCTAATGGAGCAGAAAATTTAAAAAAAAAAAAAAAAAATTATTAAAAACTCTGTCTCCACAGTCTTCCATAAGAACAAGGGCTGCTGATAAATTTATGTTTACTTTATTTCAGACTTTCTCAGAGTTTACAGTTCATTTCTGAAATGTCTGGAATGCTTTATATAAGATGTTTTGACTTTTAGAAATTGATATCTTCGGCACAATACTATATGTGCACAGAAAGCAGTACGAGGCTAAAATCAACCAATCGCACCATCATGCCCCTTAATCATCCAGTTACATTTTGCAACTTTTTCCTCATACCCCAGTACTAAATTGAGCTGACGTGGAAAAAATGTGACGATGTGCAAATAATACAAGAAATTTTAAAGTATAGTTGAAGGTCATTCCAGAAGAAAAAATTCAAATAGTCTTTCATTCATCACTTCTTTCCATAATATGAAGATTATATGTATTATGTATTGAAAAATCCCAATGTAGAAACCAGAGAGTAAGCAAAAATTGATGAATGAACTTTTTTTTAATTAGAATTTTAATTTAAGAAATTTTCAGACATCTTACATAAGCAAAACTACTAAATTTATATATTCTATACCTTGAACATTAAACTGGAATGCAAGAAGAAAAGCATATATAAAAGTTTTCTGTTAAATGGATCTTCTTTAAGTGGATAGTCTACATATCACTTCTGGAATTGAGAATGTTATTGTTTGCCTCTGATAAAAAGTTGAATCAATTAGCCTTAATATTCCTAGATTAACTTAACAAATCACTTGAGAGCTATCTAGTGACAGACAAGAAAGCTTTCAAATAGGTTTATATCAGGATAGTGGCATGTATATATATATACACATAAATGTTACACAAGAAGAAACCTTTCAAAACACTTAGCCTATTCCATAAAAATAAATTTGAAATTGATTTGCAATATATTACTGTACCGTGATTTTAAATACTTAGTTACTGGTATGTCTCTTAACCTGATAAAGATAAGGGTCCTCCGCTAAAAGAGTAAATTGCTTAAATATTAAAAAAAAAGAGAAAAACTCCTTTGTATTCACATTACACATGGCAAAAACAACAAAGACACCATCCAATCAACTTCTTTGCTTAGACTCAAATCTGCTTCAAACATGCAGCAAGTTAATACTGTATTATTTACTTGCTATTATGGTGTCTATAAAAATCAGCATTTATAATACATAAATGGACACTGGTAATTAAGAAACCCACTAGCAGCCGAGCAGTAAAGTCACTGAACACTGGTAGTTCGATTTCACGCTCGAATTCCTGCGCACGGGCTGGCTGAATGGCGTTTTTGCAGTTTTCCCCATGTGTAACATGTATATGAGCCAGCTTCCCTTAGAAAGTCCTCCAGAAAGGCATCCCTCCCCTTAAGCCATATAACCCTCGAGGCTTTGCCATAATCATATAAACCAAACACTGGTAATTAAGATAAAAGCAGCTGATTTTAATTCAACTTCCTCGCTTCCTTTCCCCATTAAGCTGACCAGCTTTTGATTTAGTCTGAAGGTATGGGAAAAGAAGTAATGTTCGCAAAAAGTATTTATTGAAAGCATGGTATGTAAATAAACACTTTTACTTTCAGATGATTCCATATCCATTTAATGATGAAATTTTTTTTAGTCATTATTAAAGCACAAGCAATAAATGAAGAGAAATTTAAGTAGTAAAGAAAAATAACAGAGCATCATTATTAAAGCACAAGCAATATATTAACAGAAAATTATGAAATAAAAACATAGCAGAACATCATTCAAAGACTGAAGAAATTGCTTTGAATGTTCACAGTGGAGTTAACTAGAGAAAAAAACTATAAAATTTTATTTTACATTTATGAATACTATGTTACAGATAATGGGGCAATCAAGTAGACCTCTAAGATGTCATCTATGATTTTCAAAACAAATAATAATAATAGCATTATTTTTTAAATGTATGAATTAAAATTCTTCTTTAAAAATAAGCATAGAATTTAAATTTATTTTCTTTTCCTACAAGTTATTTTTATATTTCTACTTATTCTACATCTAGAGGGATGGCAAATTCAGTGACTACCTCATGTAGCAAAACTACTTTACTTACAAAAAGCCTACTTTTACTGCAAATTCGGCGGTACCCTTTCCTAGTACTTTACTTTCACAATTTCCTACACCTAGAGACATACTTATATCATCTATTTCCTCAAAGTTTATCATTAAATTTTTGTTATTACAGAAATGAGTTGTAGCTGCTATATCTACGACCCAATTAAATTTATCTGCATTACCTTCTTTATCTGTAGTTGACACATCATTTTATACTAACATTAACTCTTTATCTTTAAACTGCCCATTTTTATCATCCACTTTAAACTTCTGATTTTTACTTAAATTTTCTATACACTGAGCAATTAAGTGTCCACTTTCATGACATCTATAACAAGGTCCTTTCTTCATACTCCCCACTTTTTTCTTTAGTTTTACTTCCAAATTGACTATTTTCCAGCTTTTGTGTTATATGCTTACCTTGCTGTCTTCTAAATTTGCCTGTACCTGGCGAAGTTGACTTCCCTCACCAGTTCTTCATAATTTTTTTTGCAGCATAAAATCCTCGTCCTTCCACCTATAAATGAATTACAGAATCCTGGAGTAACCTCCAAACTGCTTGAAACCCTTTAAAAAGATCTCCTAAGTTGTGTCCAGCTTCAGCCAGCTTCTTCACAGTCATTTTTATTCTCGCGACGAACAGCCCGATTTCTTCATCAGATGCATATCTAATGTTGAAAAATTTATCAAGAAGCTGCATTATTCCGGCTCTTGTTTTTGATTCAACATGCTTCTGGAGAATTTCCCATGCTTCTTTACCACTTGAACATTCTTGTATCAATAGCCTGAACTCAGTTTTAATTCCATAATATAATGTAGTGAAGGCTCTGTTTTCTCTCAAAGTGAAATTCTGCTTGTCACATCTTGTTGCACTTTTATCCAATATTTCTTCTTTTCCTTATATGAAGCTCCAACAATTTCTGTCTAGCAACAGCATCCTTATATCGACTTTCCATCGGTCCCAGTTGTCATGGTTCAATAATTCAAATCCTTCTAGTAGTACGGACATCTTTAGTTACTCATAAGCACAACTAGTAACCAACTTCTAAACACTTCAGCTCTTTTTGCAGATAATGGCCTTCTTCACTTAAATTCCTCAAAGTTAAATTGAGCTGGGCCCATAGCCTCTTGGCATTAGAGCAGTTGCAAAAGTATACTTTGCTTTAAATAAATGCCGGGAGTAAAATAAACTAATCTTTATTTCATTACTTTAAATAAACTAAACTAGGCTGTAACAGTAGCCTGTACATTTAAAACAACAAAAGAGAAAAGAAAAAAACCCAGGAAATTCTCTCACGTTCCCAAACTTAGTATATACACAACATCGGCCAACCCACCGATACTACATCATCAGCCAATAAGTGGCAACCATGTTAGTTAATTGCTGATTGGCCTCTGAACTAAATTTGCATGAGAAAAACAAAAGAACATTAAGTCAACACTTATTCCTCCTACGCAGTAAACTATTACATATATATATGAGTGTGTGTTTACTTCAAAAATGGTAAGACAAAAATAAAAAATTATATCAACAAGCTATGTCTAACTGCATCTTTACAGCATGAAACTTGCCTGCCCCATCATCATTATTTATCTACTCAAAATTTTCAGAATTTATTTTTAATATATAAAAAAATTACATCAAAATCAACACATAAATTACAAATAAATACAAACCCATTTTAATTGCAATGTTTAACTAAAAATTATCATTAAGAATAAAATAAATAAGCTATACTCACTTTGTTTCAAAATCCCGTCCAATGAGATTAATGACAACATTTGAATACTTCATTGATTTATACAAAGTATCTTCATCTTTCAAATAGAAAGGCTAAATTTATGGAATGATCAATAAATATCAGATAAATAAAAATACAGAATGATAACAGATTTTAAGAATTTAAATAACATTAATAAAAGTAGTGAAAACTTTTATGTGAACTTGGCAACAACATTTTAAGATCATTATAGTTATGATAAACTCTTAATATATTTGTAGATATAATTTCACAACTGTAATTAGCAGGAATAGTAATACAGTATATTAAAAACTACATCAAATAAAAAATAAAAACACTGTTTAGATAAAGAAGCATCACATATAACTGTAATTAGAAGTAAAGATAATAAAATATATGAAAAGATATATGAAATAAAAGAATAAAAAAATACTGTTTAGACATTAAAAAATAATCATATAACTAACACAAGATGTAACACTGGTAGAAATAGAATGGTTTTTAACATTTTCTGCACACTGAAAACTTACATCTTACATTTTAAAATGAAAATTAAACACTGTCTAATTTACATACAAGGTCTGTCCCGAAAGTAATGTGCTCTATTTTCTTCTGCCGCGACCATCCATCGCATGACATTGCCGCTTGCACGGAAGGGGTGGGTGGAGTCTTGGAAAGACGGCACGTTCAGCGCCAGTCGGCTCAGAGCTCCTGGAGAGTCACAGTGCCT